TGTATATAGTTCATTTGAGTTTGTAAATATTTAGAGAGTTTGTTTGATCTGCTTCCTCCTCTGTAGATTTTTCTTTTACTTCCCTGTAGTGAGTTTGTGTTAATTTGGCTAAATAATAACAGTGTGTGTATGTAAATTGCCAGTGCTGTATACCAATCAGGTATAACAGGTTTGAATCCCCACTGCAGTTTCCCCTGATGCATTTCTTGATCTAACAGTTAGAAATAAACAAGAAACAAATATAAGATATAATAAGCCAAACACATATAAGTGCAGGGAACAGAGTGAGTCAATTAAGTGATCCGAGTCAACAAAACAAAGTTATTGAACTCTATTCATTATGTAGAATGAAAAAAAAAAAAGGTTTCATTTGGGACAATGGTTGTTAAGTCTGAGACAGTTGAACGTAGAATTTGGGACAGTTGGGGGACACAGAGAAAAAAACTAGATATAGATTACTAAGTCTGTCCTAGCCCGACTCAGACTGTGAATAAAAATGCTACTTTGCAAACCTCTGCGTGTGTGTTGTGTCCCCGCAGGATGTGTCCCATCTTTCAGATCTCCAATGTGACTGGAGAGAACATGGACCTGCTCAAGATGTTCCTCAACCTGCTTTCCTCCAGGACCTCCTACCGAGACGACCAGCCCGCTGAGTTTCAGATAGACGACACCTACTCTGTACCGGTACTCTAACCAGTGACAGACGCTTACCACTAAATGCATTTTACTGTGTGGATTTCTTAAGGGTCCACTGTGTAACATTTAGGAGAATCTAGTGGAAGTGGAATATACTATTCATAGGTATGTTTTCATTAGTGTATAATCCCCTGAAAATGAGAACGGCTGTGTTTTTGTTACCTTAGAATGAGCTGTTTTTACATGAAGAAGCAGGTCCTCTTCTATGGAGTCCTCCATGTTGAATCAACATTTTTCACTGTTTCACGGCCTGTTTCTACGACATGCTTGGAAGACGAGTGGTATTCAGTTTTTAGTAGTTTCTGTATTCGGTTGTAATGTGCAGCTTTACTGCAAGATACCCCTAAATCTTACACACTGGTCCTTTAAGTGAGGAATATCACGCTACAGGTACAAACCTCACACAGCATACAGAACAGATCCCACCAAGTGCTATCTAAACCACCGGATGTGTTGTGTTTACGTCTCAGGGAGTGGGAACAGTAGTATCAGGAACTACTTTACGTGGACTCATACGTCTGAATGACACAATGCTACTAGGGCCGGATCCCTTGGGCAGCTTCATCTCCATTGCCGTCAAATCGATCCACCGCAAGAGAATGCCTGTGAAGGAGGTCAGAGGTGGCCAGACCGCCTCGTTTGCTCTCAAAAAGGTAGGAAGAGAACAGAATCTAGGGGGAAAGTTTGGGACTGCATAACTGTTTTGTGCATTATGATTAAATAGTTAATTAACTGTCTCAAATATAGTAACCGGTATGGTTAATCATTTATACGACAGTATTTTTTAAGATTCTTGCGGTTTTACGATATTTCACGGAATGACTGGGCTTATATAGTACATAGAATATATAAAAACATTTTAATGCAGTTGTGTTTGCAGAATATAAATGATTTTTATTGTGCAACCGGTAACAAAAACAAAACCTTAAAATTAAAAAAAGTATACCAAAAACTTTAATGTAAATATATTTGTATAAATAGTTGTAAAAACACTATAAACTAACATACACAAAATTAACACCAGTGTAACGGTTCATCCGTTTTATTGCCCAACACTATTTTCCCTTAATCCCTCTCCACTGATCTGATACGTGTCCATCCTATCACGACTCTTTGTAGATCAAGCGTTCGTCCATAAGGAAAGGGATGGTGATGGTTTCCCCAAGGCTGTGCCCACAGGCCACATGGGAGTTTGAGGCAGAGATCCTGGTACTGCACCATCCCACTACGATATCCCCCAGATACCAGGCCATGGGTAGGTAACAATGACATGGAAAGGTGTCAGGGAGTTGGGGCTTTATATTATTGATTGAACATTTGAGTGCCTTGAAGATTTGTGGCCAACTCTCCAAATAATATTTAATATTTCTGAAGAGTTGCTTGGTTCAAATGATTAGAGGTTTCTCGAATAACTGTGTACAATTTGTACAAGATCATTTTCTCAAGAGTTGTACCCTCATGAAGTTTGATAGAAGTACAGGACACTGACCAATGGTGCTCTCAATGGTCAAATTCGTTTTTCCCCAGTCTTTCTTTTGCTCTATCCAATCACCTTTCTGTCCTCACCCACCACTCAGTCCACTGTGGCAGCATAAGGCAGACGGCCACCATCTTGTCTATGAACCGGGACTGCTTACGGACAGGGGACAAGGCTTCAGTCCACTTCCGTTTCATCAAGACCCCTGAGTACCTGCACTGCGACCAGAGGCTGGTGTTCAGGGAGGGACGCACCAAGGCTGTGGGCACCATCACCAAGGTAACAGAGCCTTCTGTAAGATCAAGGACTGTTTGAGTGGTGGGGGGCACGGTGCTGACCAAATTGAAGTTCAAAGACGCGTACTTTTGCTTTACAATGTGCCAGTGTCTAAAGCCTTAATTAAATGGAATAATTCATTTCATTTACGAGGAATAAGCCAAGTGAGGACACGGCTGGTAGAATCATAGTTGGTCCATGATTGTCCCCCCCCCCCCACCGGCGCAGCCTGAACACACTAGCCCCATTCAAAATCCGGCATCTGATTTAGTCTGAATCAGCACTAAATGTTACACACTTGCCCTTTAAGATCGGTAAAGGACCAGAAGAAAAAAAACATTATTACCTTGGTCAAACGCAAAATGTTTGTAGAAATTATTGACCATAATTAGTCATTATAGGGCAATCCATGGTATTAATTACTCTACATAGTCCCCTGTGAAACATATCCTATTCAGAAAGGGATCAGGCTGAGATATGCAATTTGCTGTTGTAATGAGCTTTTTAATTAAGCATAAATCTGTTTTTTTTTTAAATCTCACTGAGACTAAAGTATTGACTCACATTCCTTCCAGCTGTTGCAATCCACCAATAATTTGCCCTCAAATTCCAAACCTCCACAAATCAAAATGCAGCCTACCAAGAAGGCACCACTCCGAAAAGAGGACGGCACCGTGGCAGCCGGCGATGATGTAGCAACGATAGCACAATCAGCAGGCCCGAACGCGACACAGCCGGTAAGCCAATGAAAATGTGCCGTTTAGTCTGGTCGTGCTCTTCTTGTGTTTCTTTGGTTTTTCCTGCCTTTTACTGTGTACTTGCCTTAACATTGCCGCTCTTTTCTAATGTATTAACTTCTCTGTGTCCTCCTTCTTTCCTTTGGTCTTTTTTCCATCCTAAACTTTAACTGTGTCACGTTACAACACTTCTTCTCACACTCTCCCTCTCCTTTGATTGCGTGGCTGGCTTCCTAAGGGAGAGGGAGATGAAGACCCTCAGATAAAGGAGGGCAACAAAGAGAACAAGGTAAAGGGTTAAAGATTGTGTTTTCCTTAGCAAGATAGCCTGGCAGTCTTGTTTCTTGATACATTTAGTCAATGTTTTCTGGTCATGGTCTTTTTTTCTTTTTTGGTTTTTTAAATAGCTGTTTGGAATATGAAATACTCCAAATGCAAGTTTATCAAGTGTTTTTGTTCCCTCCCCCTTGCAGCCAAAGTCTGGAGGAGGTGGAAGGCGAAGGGGTGGCCAGAGGCACAAAGGAAAAAGCCAGAACAACAGCACCAACTCCACAGCAGCTCCCACCTCATCGGGAATAGGAGGCTGCTGAACTACCCTCTCTTTTCCCCTGCAAACCTCCCTCTCTGCTATCACTCCACCAAGTGTCTTCATTCCACAAACCATGAAGGATACAGATGTTTGGAGCAAGACACTCCTCACTCTTATTACGCCTTGCCTTTTTACACCAGGGCTTACAGTTGTTTTTTTAAAAAGGGAACACAAAGGGGTATGTCCCAAACCAAAGGGCATACACCCGTAATGCATTTTAATGTCTCTGCCTTTACCACTTGGATTGGTTTGTGTGATGGTAAGCAGTGTGGTTTCTGAGGTTAGCCTCACTCAGGTTGATGATTTAATTTTATCCATAATTTATGTGTATGAAATCTACAGTTCAGTCCTCTGGCTTAATGTCAGTTGGAGGGAGGGAGGCTAAACCCGAAACAAGGGTCCAGTACCAATATGAGCAGCTATAAATGAAACTCCCCCATGCATTCCCTGTGTATTTGCAATGAAAAACATTTAATGTACTATTTATACTGCATATGTAAATTAGCTGTTAGTTGTGCTCTGATTGGAAAGATGCCAATATTGTAAAAAATGTATGCAAATTATAAATGAATGTAGCAGAGGGCACGTAGTAATTTCAAATTCTAGATATATGGAAAATATGAGCTGTTGCAATTTATAATTGTCAGTTATTTATTTGGCATACATGCAGAACGTTCACTCTTGGATGGTCTTAGATCTTTCAACCTACTATCACTTGCACTCTTAGAATCAGTAGTATCTACCATGCTTCCACTGTCAGCCATTTTCCAAACCTTATACCAATAGTGTTAGTACAGAGAAATACAGCACAGTATCTTGTCACTCCAACGGTTGCTCATGATTATAAGACATGCAGTACTTGTGGTGCTACTTGTAACTCTAGTACCCCATGCGTTATGGCCTGTTGCTGTTAACATCTTGTGACATTTTAAACACACTTTGCCGCTAAAGAACTGACCATTAATAAACAAGCTTTACTGAACAGTTACAGTACTTTTAAACAGTACTTGTCTTTCTAAATGTCAATTTGTCTCATATTTCCTCATTATATATTAAAAATCTTAACACTGTAATTCTTTACTGTGGAAAAATATTTGGATGGGTTCTCAGTATGTTTATTATTTTCTTTTCCTTCAGTATACGTCAGTATTTGCTGTGTACTCTCAGTTTTTATGAGTTCCACATGTTACAGTGTCAACTATTGGCTGGATTGAGTAGACACCAGACGGCAGAATATTCTTCTGCATTTCGATTGTATATTATTGACAAATAATGTATTGTTATTTACACAGGCTACAATAGCTACAATTATGTAAAACCACAAAATTAATTGATTATGTTTTCTGCACATGGGAAAGTTACAGTTAACAATACAAGTCCAAATAATTCTCAACAGTTTCAGAACATAACACCCACCGGCACGATCTAATTAGCTTGGCAGGAATAACAACCAAAACAACAAAACCTTTGCTATCTGCAAAGTTTTCAAAAACTACCCTGTTAAAACTGTAACAAGTGTACATAAACTTAAGTTGTAAAAAAAAAAAAAAGAAAAAGAAAAAATTTGAGCACCACAATATACTCAAAGTAATTCAGTTTTGTCAACATATGAACCTTCAGTCTCCACATACAGGTCACCATTATGAAAAATGAACAGTTATAACAGACTTAATAAACAGAAAATACCCTATTTTCTAATGTATGTGCAGCTTAAAGTCAGAACTAAAGGTCAGTTTGGACAGTCCTATGCTGAATTGCTCTAACTTACAAGGGCACATTTATTCACAAGCAACAGTTGTGTTTACTTCATATACAAAAAAACATTACAAATTATATTTAACATTTATTTACTGTAGATTCTAACACAAAAGTATTTATCTGCTTCATTTTACAATATGTCATACAAGTGCAGACTGTTCACTACCACTATTAGGGTAGCACACATACCCATAGTCTTGTATTACAATTTGAAAAGGCTTTACTCGGTATAATAATATAATGAAATATTTTGTGGAATTCATGATATTGAGGTAAGTAGCAGTCCTCTCAAAAATAATTTGTAACTTTATAGCTCCATATTTAGGAATGTTCTGTTTTGGTCTAAATATTTGGGAATATACAGGATAATGTGGAATTTAGGACCATGTTAAAAGGTCCAGTGTTTATCTTGGCGATGTTTTTTACAGACACAGAACTGACTGTATATCTCAGACACAGAGATGCGCTCGAAAAGCACTTACTACTTGTGTATATATAGTTTTAACCATGTAGTGCAACCCCCTACAGTGGGTCTGAATTAAGGTATGCACCTTAATCCACACGTATATGCTTCAGCATATACAAACTGATCGACCTTTATGAGGACATGAGAGTCTCAGAGTAATGATTACGGTGTCACCATTGTCCAATGCTGAAAGGTGATGTGATGGATGGGGTCTGTAAAGTAGTCACTTACAGTAGCAGACAACTGTCTTATTCATGATTGACAGTGAAAAAAAAAAAACAGGTGAAGAGACATCGAATACACACGTGATGCATGACAGGATAGGATTCAGTCGTCATTTTGCTGTGTGTTTAACCATCGATATCCCAGCTGAAGAGGTGGTGTTTTACCAACATATCCTGCACTCCCTCTTTAAGGGGTCTCTGCTCCTTCTCCTGGAAAAGAGATGAAATATGGACAGCTTTTACCAAAAAGACAATTGTTACCAGAGAGACTCAAAGGAATCGCAAAGTATTGAATGGGCAATAGCAACTTGAAGCAAGGCGATGCTATGACAATCGTAATTCTATTGAAAATGTTACCTTGGTGAGTTTATTTGTGTGATAAGGTCACTCTATATACCATCTATATACTAGTATGAAATCAGCCCGATAAGTAAACTAGGAACTATACTAACTGACTAAAGCATCTACAGTCTATAGATGACGTGTTACCTAGAGGTCCCAACTAAAGAGGTGATGCTTAACCAGCACATCCATAGTTTCTGCTTTCAGAATGGTGGATTTCTGAAACAGCATAAAGTCATAAAGTTTTTCTCCACCTGAATACTAATATGCTTTCTTTGAATAGTTCAGACTTGCTTACTACTGCTCTATATGCAAATGCTAGAATAATCTGCTTGGCTCACCTCTTTCTTGTCAGGTAGTTCACAATCTTGGGAGAGGCTGAAGGCAAACTTTGACAAGACCCTGAAGAGAAAACAACAGTAGAATGGTTATTATTCGTTTTATTAGTTTCTTCCCTTTTTGTTTCATTTTTGTGCTTTAAAAAAAACAACAACTTAATATTGCCAGCCAACAGGAATTCAGTACTGAGTTTGTAAGCAGCTTATTCCATTTAACCATTACCAGTAACCAGTAAAGTGTTTCTTACCTGAGCTCACACTTGATCTGCACCCATCCAGGACTGCGGAGGAATGACCAAGGGTGATACCACTTTTCTACAGCAGCCATGCTGGAGCACAACACTTCCAACCACAGGTGCAGCACCTGCTCACTGGTGGGTTAGAAATATATTAAGATACTATGCTCAGATTGACTGTATTGATATCAATTCTGTATCAGTCTCAGTCTCAGAAACTCACTTGAGGCCGACGCAGACAAGAGACCTAAACTTGATATCCATCTGAGCGTGTGCTGAGTCGTGGCTCATGTTGACTGACTGCACCGCCTGAAAAGAGCAGACAGAGGGCACTCATGCACTTTCAATAATATTCATTCCGTTTACAGACTGCTGAATTTAGGCAAGGCCTCACTGGGCCTTCCAACTACTCAATAAAACAGATTTGTTTTTTGTTTTTTACACATTTCTATTAAATGCTCACTTACTCTGTATAACAGCTCCTCTGGTGTTAGTACTTTCCCATCTTCATCTAACCTGGTAGATACCGGGACAAATTGAGTTGTTACCTTATCATTCCGGCATACATATTAAAAGTGAATTTCTCATTCATCTGCCACAAATATAACCATATTTCTAACATTTAGGTTGTAATTATAACCCCCAGCACCCATGTTGAATAATCATGTGAAGAGAAAAAAAAGAAATGGAAACACAATAACGGTTATACCTGTAGGTTTTACAGAGCACCAGTCTGGAGTAGACAGAGTTGAAGTCCCTCTCTACCTCTCTACTGGCCGCCTGAGAGAAAACCAAAAGGACAAAGAAACGATTAAATTCCTTGGTGAATTTGTGTGCAATATGGTGCCATTTGGAAAAAAAAAAAAGCTTTCCTACCTCTTCTATGAATAACCAAGGGTGACAAGGCCCTCCCAGGATAGATGGTTTCTTGAGACCGTGCTGAAAGATGGCCTTTAGGGCCGGACAGAGTGTGCCCCTAGCCAAATCTGTCACTGCCTCTGTCACAGAGTCATCACCTGCTAATGAGTACTGGGAATAGACACAAAAGCATCAATCACTGGTTAGGATACTATGAATTAATAATCAGGATACTAGAAGGGCAATGTGAAGAAACAAAGATAAAAACTGACAAATATCATTCTAATGGGCAAATCAAAGTCCATAGAAACACTTATGTCTTATTAAGCTGATTATTAACTGCTTCCATACCTCTTTGCTTCTTTCATCTAGGATCTCCACAAACTTAGCCGGAAACCAACCTGTTACAAAGAGCCACAGATAATGTATGTCAAATGAGCTGTAAGATTATAGAAAAAGGCAATTATCCAGATGGCAATGGAAGCAGATACATAAGAACACACCTCTAAGGCCATTGAGCTCTCCAACCCAACAGTGTTCATCCTTCTGTGAGATGATCTGAAAAAGAAAGAAGAATCAGAGGTAAGGGAGTACAGTGTGTGTACATGGTTGCAAACTTTAAAAGGAGTTCAGTCTAGACC